CCACAGTTTTAATTTTATTATTTGTATTGTATTTAATTTCAATTTTATAATAATAATAATACCAAATAAATAATAAAAAATAAATAAAAATAGTAACAATAACAGTTTTGATAATATTATTTTATTTTTATTTCATTTAATAATAATAATAATAATAATAATAATAATAACCAAAAAGAATGTTATTATGTAGGTCTTTAAATAGTAATAACAGTTTTATTTAACTTTTTTATTGCATTATTTACATGTTTAATTACTTATTTTATTAGTATTGTAGGTATTATTATTATTATTATTAGTAGTAGTAGTAGTAGTAGTAGTAGTAGTAGTAGTAGTAGTAGTAGTATCATTATTATTATATAATATAATCTATAATATAATATATTATGATATAATATATATCACTATATTATTATATTTTATACAGAAATATTTTGTAACAAATATATTTACTGTCATTTTTATTCATTTATTCATTTAAGTATTTTCAAACAAACTATTATTAACCCACACTTAATGACCCAAACCGTGAGTGCAAATTAAAAACAATAAAAAGAACTTAAGAAAATAATTATTGTCTTTTCTGTCAACTAACCAAGACAACATCTTAATGTTACCAAAACACAGTATCTGAACGTGTCTCTGTGATTTCCCACCTTCTCCATCCTGTACCATTTTTCACATGTTGCTGACAGCGACGAGATGAGAAAAATAAGGCGGCAAAAAGTGCAGCGCGTTACATCACTCAATGTGCTGCGAAGAGCTTGATCTGGCCCAGGTGTGCAGCTCTATTGGATCACCCTCCAGAGTCACCATTCACTCACAACTCTCTCTAAACAGCTCTTTACAGGCCCTGACACTTGAAATATTAGTAACAAATGGACCAGGACTCGATCCAGTATCACCAAAAGCGCTCATTCCAAATTATTTGGAGAGTCAGTCTGAGAAGCAAACTTTCTAACCAGATGTTCTTTTTATTCATTTTGAATACCGTGTTTTTGTATTGTATTGCAGAGATGTGCTGAGGAATTACCAGATGAGCTGGACTGAAAGAAGCAAGGCATAAATCAGCCTTAATTCATCCTTACAGACACCCTGGATCTGACAAAAAAAGTGACTATAGGCTTTTTAAGTTGTGAAATTTATGACCTTGTATTATAAAATCAGTTATAAACATGGCTTGACATTATTATTATTTTTTTTCATCACCAGCCACTGTGGCTAGTTGTTTTCCAACATTACTAGCCACTCGCCATTTTCACTAGCCATAATTTTGTTGTTAGGAAAATATATTTTATATGCATAAATATGACATGTCATGCAAAAATTACTTGATTTAAATTAGATATTGTACTATGTCCACATGAGTCCTCATTCCTTTCACTTTTTGTGTATTGTGTATGAGCTTGCTCAGTGGGTTGTGGTTTTATAGTGTCACATTAAAATTAGTTTTTATTTCACATGACTTTCCAGGGCTCACAATTAAGGACTTACCAAATGTATACTGAAATAAATAATAAATAAATCAAAAAATAAATAAATAATTATTTCTTAGACTCAAATGTTAAATAACGTGTCAACACAAGCAACATATAGCAAAATATAGCTGTATACTATACTTTTTATTAAAAAAAAAAATAGACATTTAAAAAATAACTATTGCCATGCTTTTAAAATATGCACAGTAATCTGTCCTGGCTAAAGTTCCCAGATCACCAGCTAACTACACATGAATGGGGAGTTAATCTCCTATTAAAGCAATGTTATTGTAAAAAAATTATAACTAAACCATACTAACAAAAATAACTGTAAGCAAAAGCAAGCAGGTGAAAAAACTGCATGTGTGATAAAGAAAGGATGATCACGTGCACTTAATATCTGATCAAAGAATGGTCAAAGCAAAAGCAACCTGTGCTGCTTACAAAAAGACAAACCTGGAGCTCCTGAAAGCAGCAAGACTGGGGGTGCAGGAGCATAACATTTTGTCTAGTCTATTTAAAAGAGAACTGATCTCACAAGTTGCGTTTTTGTATGCACGGTTGCTTCACGCAAGGAAACAGTAGATCACAAAAGCTGTAAGCGCGAGTGATCATCCTCTCATTTGTTATCCGCCTGCTTTCTATAGCTTGTGCAAGCACAATTTTTTTTGTGCTGCTTCTCGATTTTAAGATCACATTTGCACGACCACGGCCCGGCACATGGTCTAAAAGGGTTGAGCTTATTCTCTTAATGATTTATGAGTGTGTTTTGAGCATAACATGCATTAAACCAATCAGTCTCATCTCCAATTCTCTTTAAGAGTCAGTTGCGTTGCACCATGGTGCATTTGCTGTTTACATGGCGGACTTTGCAAATGGAAAAACTGCATGCTTCACTAGCGAGAAAACCATCTGCAGCGCAAGGATAAAGAATAAGCCTCTTCCAATCAGCCTCTTTTTCTTTACTTAACTTTTACTCTTCAACGTTCATGGATAAGGAAACTGTGTTGTAAGCACTCAACTAAAGACATCCATTAGCCTACATATTTAATTTTATTTGTTAAGCGCAAAGATTTGATCCAAAACTATTTCTAAATTCAGTTCTAATTTCCAGCAAATTAATAAGTGAATAATAATAACGAAATGTGGTTATAAAACCACATCCAAAGTATCCCTGTCCTGTTATTTTGCCTCATATGGTGATGTAGATGCCTCCGAAACTCCACAGGTGGACAAATTTAAACTTGCTTTATTAAAACAAATATAAATATGTTCATAAATAATAATACTACACTTTGTCATGAATAAGCTAAAAAAGGATTAACATTTTAATCCTTTTTTTTTATATGTAAAGATATTTGTGTAATGCTGTACATCCTGTGTGTATTATGAAATGTGTAAACATTTGGATCCACATAGGCGAAAGCCAGCTTTAGACCAGCTTTTTTTGGTCAATGGCGCGCTCTATTTTATTTTCTCATAATAGCAAGGCGCCAACAAAGTCCACAAAGTAGTGCAAATGGATTAGCTATTTAAACAATGAGGCGCACAGCATTAAATTTAGAGTTGCGCTGGTCTGAAAATAGCAACAACTGGTGCCATACAGGTTTTGCGCCTTATTGCGCCAGGTGTATGATAGTGCCCTAAAGGACATTCTGTGAAAAATGCCTTGCTCTGTTAAACATCACTTTGGAAAAATTTGAAAAAACTAACTAATTCAAAGGAGGTCTAATAATTCTGACTTCAACTCTATACTTTGTTAGGATATGACAATATTAAACCGAGATACGACTATTTGAAAATCTGTAATCTGAGGGTTCAAACAAATAAAAAAAACTGCAAAAATCAGCTTTGAAATGTAAAACTTTAGTTGTTAGAAATGCACATCTTTATTTAACATAATTTGAAAGATTATAATATATACACAGTGATCAAACACATGAACGATATGCATTTGTTAATATGTTTAGCTTAACACACTGTGAGAGTATATTAGTGGCATTTGTTGTTCGCTTTTGCCATCTGATACAGCTTTCGGACCCAGACACTGTGACGGGTGAAGTCAGACTTAACAAGCGGATAGAGGAATGGATGTGTCAGACTGAGGCGAGATTTACCTTGGATATTGTAGGGGTTGTCAATGACGAAATCTCCATTCCACACAACGGAGAGGTCCACAGGCAGGTCGCTGATGTCATTTCCTTCATAGTCATACTGGAGAGAAAGAGCGAGAGAGAGAAAAAAAAGACAAATATGACTCAATCCTGATGTAACTGAATTTAGCTCCTAAAAAAAATAGTCACAAAATATCAACAGGAAAGTTTAGTTTCTTCAACAACTTTCAATTAATGTAAGCACTGCAAAATGTATAAGTGTCGCTTATACAAACATTCTTTTTTTGTATCTAGTATTATTCAGAAATGTTTAATTCACACTTTTTCCAGTAATCACCATTAATTTCTGTCCCTAAAGTGTGTCTATCCACCAAAAACACAAAAAAGGCACAAAATATAAGTAGCATGACACTGTGCGACCAAAAAACACATCATTTTCAGATTGATTACTCCCACTTTTCATCATCACTTATCTGTCCTCTATTGACAGTGTTTATACACCGAAAAGACAAAAAGAGGGCTCAAAATACCGAAATGTGGGAGAAATGAGTTTGAATTAGGCTCTCGACATTTCTCGATCCTATTAGGCTATCGCTTTCTCTCTCTCTATTGTGCTACTGACATCAAAAAAGACAAAAATAGTCCAAAATAACACACAAATACACAAATACACACACACACACACACACACACACACACACACACACACACACACACACACACACACACACACACACACACACACACACACACAAATTGTTGGAAACATTCAGGTTATGGAGGTTGTGCAGGAAATGAAAGTTTAAATCTGGCTTGCAACATTTTTGCTGTCTATCTCACCTCCTGTCCTTGTACTGCAGTGCAAAAACAATCTGTTCAAAAGTCCAAATGTGCTACAATAAGATGTGTTTTGGTGCTTATGTGGGAAAAATGCCTTTGAATTGTGCATCGATTATTTCTATTTCAAGCCTAATGGCATGCCTTCTTGCTACCAAAAACAGAGAGAGAGAGAGTGCAATTTTGGATGTTCTTGATCTTGAAAATAAACTAGCTAGCAAACGGTTTTAAAATAAAAGTCAGATCTGTGACTCAGTGTAAACAACATCCGTTATGTACTTTTAATAATGTTAAATAGGCTAAACACACACACACACACACACACACATATATATATTAGATTATAGCCCGTTCCATTTGTTTGGGAGGACAGTGGTTGGTATTGAAATGAGTAGCTGGTATTTAAATGTTTCTGTTGTGACATTGTGTTTGGTGCAGACAGCCAAATTACTTATCAATGGAATCTTGTTGCGTCGTGTGTTATTAGGACACTTTTCAATACTGTTTAATGCAATTTTAAAAAGTTACATGTGGGAAATATCATTTTGAATCAGAGTTTTATTTTTAGTTTAATAATTCCAATTTATTGTCATTATTTCCATGACTAAACACACACACACACACACACACACAAAATATTTTAAATTAGCAAAAGTATTGCTGAAGACAACAGCACTGTTTGGAATCCTGCCAGAATATACTGAATCAAATTCATTACCGACTGATACTAGAGCCTTAGCAACTTTACTGGCAAGATGAATTATTCTTACACTGTAAAACCCAATAACATAAGGTAACTCAAACCATTTAAGTTCAAAGCCTAATGAGTAGAATTAAAGATTTTTTTAAAGAGGCACTTATAACTTTATTGTTTTTTAATTTAATTTTATTTTATTTTTCATTTTATTTATATATTTTTTTCATATTGTTTGTTTATTATTATTATTTTTATGTTATCTTACAGCATGTTTGCATCACTGTAAAACCCAAAATGTTAAGGTAACTCAAACAATTTAAGAAAACCGATTGCAACAAACCATTTAAGTTCAAAAACAAATCCTATTGAGTACTGTCTATTTAATCCATTTGAGTACATGAAGCAATTTGAGCACAGTAAAACCCTATAAATGAAGAGAACTCGAACCAACTGAGTACTGTAAAACCCAATAAGTTAAGGCAACTCAAACCATTTGAGGAAATCGATTGCTACAAACCATTTGAGTTAAAAAAAAAACCTAAACAATATGAGTACTTTGAACTTGCTTACTTTAAGTTGAAGTAATGCGGTATTTAATTAACTCATTATCTTCAACACTGAGTTCAAAACTCTTTTCAACTGAGTAGAATTAACTTTCACTCAATTTTGAGTTAACTACGCTCATTTCATTTAATAAAGTTGACTGTTGAGTTTTACAGTGTGTACATATGTGATAATTTACCTTATTATTTATATACTAGTTTAGTGTATAATTGTTTTTTTTCTGATAATTTCTTGTTTGGTGACTTGTATCAGTGCATGATTTTTTTGGCATGTTTATATACCTATATGTAACAATATTATGTATATTTTATTTATGTATGTATTTTCTGTCTGACCTAAACTAATGAAGCTATATGTATATATCTGATTGGCTGATAGCCATGCGATATTCTGCAATAACAGCGCTCCAACCGACTCTTCATTAGCGACAAGCAGAGGACACTCTACAGGATGACGACAGAGACCACAGAGTAAGTCCTTAGAGGGAGAAAAACTCAGCGATTTCCCAACATAACTACAGCTACAACAACTACAGCTAAACAAATCATTATGAATCAGGTTAATGACATTCTAAGTCAATCTCTCTGTTTTGTATTGTGTACTGCTGTATACCACATAAACTGGTAATGTTTGCTTTGGTTTGGCTTTTTCTGCGTTATTTATTGTCATATCCCAATTTCAACAGAGAAATATCTGTAGACTGATGGCATCTCAGCCCAAAATTACCTGTTTAATCATCACTTTAAATATTAAGCTAGAGAATCATTCAAATACTAGATCTACGGTGACAACTGTGAAGTAGCAATGGTTTCTGCTGTTCTGAACGTAGCTGCAGTTGTGAATGAATGGTGGAAGAAAGTAGTTCCTTGTACACAAGGGTTTTTGAGACTCCCTGTGTTTGATTTTCTTTTTTATATACACAATTATGTCATCAAATTGTTGTATAAACGCAATATTGCACTTGTAGCAGTGAAATATGGCTGTACTGGTCTATGGTGGCACACTAAGGAACTTGACCTGCGCCCTCAAGCCAACACACGCCACCCATCAGTGCCGATATACAGCCATGTTGCACTTCTACTCATGTGATATTGCTCATATATATCGCTCAAGACTGAACTGAGAGTTTAAATTTGTCTTGCAACATATTTTGATCCCCATCAAAACCCCTTATCCAGTCTAAATCATAGAAAAAACATAAAGCTACTAAAAAGATCACTAATCTATACACAATCTGTCAGTAAGTCACAAAAAAGGCACAAAAACAACACGAAAAGCGCTCTTGAACCCAATCGTATTTCTGTACCCACTACCACAACCCCCAAAATAAAGCAAATCCCCACAACCCAAGACAAAACAACCAACAAATCTATAGCGCAGATTTGTTTAAGTATGCATCTCTCCTATTGGACCATATTGTTGTGTATTGCATCACTGGTTTTACTTCACTGATCCTAACATGCAAACCGGGGGCCGACGGGATGAAGAAGAGCTAAGAAAAACACAAGCGAACCCTGCTGAAATGGCAGCCAATGAATGAAACATGCCGGCTTATCTCGCTCCATGTAAATCTTGCCATTTAAGTGTGCATCCTTGAGAGAGACAGAAGAAAAGAGAGTGAGACGAAGGGCGCAGCGGAGTGAGACGGACGAGTCGGGATTCTCATCACGCAATTGTGTGAGTGTCAAATCAATACGAAAGGAGGTGAAAACACTCCAGCCTGACAGGAGCCTCGCTTCTACGGCCACTCTCATTCCCGAGCACTGATAAACAGCGGCAGACATCCAGCACACTTATCCACCTTCTCTCTACACCCCATGATGCTTTGCATCAAATATGGGAGTAACGTAGTTTAAACAATCAGTGAAATAAAAAAAAGGATGATGAGGTGTCATTTAAAGGGATAGTTCAAGCAACTAGTTATTTCCATTAAAATATCTTTTTTCGTTTCAAACAGACGAAAGAAACTTCAAATAAAGTTTAACTGTCCTGTTTGTATTTAATTAAGATGAATTTTTAGATGTAGAATGAGTATGTTAGTCATAAGGTTACCTAGCATATAAGCTAGTGTGCTTTAGAACGAGGGTTAATGAAAGTATTGACTTTGGTACCAATCGGTAATACAATTTTAAAAATGCACATTTCCAACATTTAAATGCTCTTAAGCACATTCTGATTGGCCATTGTGTTCACATGCTCAACAGAAATGACTGCGATTGGCCATGATAGTCATCAGTTCACCTCTCCTAGCCAAGTGCAAACACAGATAAAAAAACACATAAAGTTGGGTCTATCAGCTGGTCTGTCTATGAGCTGATAGACATTTAGTTATTTTGTTCTAGTTTTAGAAACCTTGAATCCTATAAAGGAAATATCAATTCTAAAGAGAAATATGTAAGGCGATGCAGTGGCGCAGTAGGTAGTTCTGTCGCCTCACAGCAAGAAAGTCGCTGGTTCGAGCCTCGGCTGGGTCAGTTGGCATTTCTGTGTAGAGTTTGCATGTTCTCCCTGCGTTTGCATGGGTTTCCTCCTGGTGCTCCATTTTCCCTCACAGTAAAATACATGCGGTAGAGTTGAATTGGGTAGGCTAAATTGTCTGTAGTGTATAAGTATAAATGAGTGTGTATTGATGCTTCGTAGAGATGGGTTGCAGCTGGAAGGGCATTCGTTTCGTAAAAACATGTGCTGGATAAGTTGACGGTTCATTCCGCTGTGACGACTCCGGATTGATAAAGGAACTAAGCTGAAAAGAAAATTAATGAATGAGATATATGTAAGGGATGTACTCATTTATGCTAGGCATTGTATATGTATATTGAATATTGCTGTACAGTGCAGAGTACAAAGAGAAAATTATTTAGAAAAACAAGATGCGGTAAATTCTACAGATATACTTTACAATATGCTAATGCCACATTTAAATACCAAACATTGTTTCAGTTATTATTATTATTATTTTTAATTTAAATATTTTCCCAAATATTTAAAAGGAACTTCCCAAA